AATATCTGAAATAATTATGTCTGTGGGTAAAATACTACCAAGGCTTTGCACTTCACCAAGCAGCAACCACTCTTCCATCCTCTGCTGCTTTTCCCTCAGGTGCCCCTCCTGCCAAGTTGAATCCATCCACTCTGTCCCACATCTCATGCTCTCCTACCTACATTCATGCCCTCTGGGCATGTTTTGGGCACTGTTTACCCCATCCTTCTCAGGGCCCTTCCTAGGCTTCCTGATGCCACTGCTTGCTGCGTTTCCTATTGCCTTCTATCATCTCTGTCACAAACTCCCTCTTCTCGACCAACCCCTTAAGACACCACCCCAAGACCAATGTGCCTTGCATTCTGTACACCTGCCTGGATGATCTTATTGATTTCCATGGCTGCCATTATCACCCAACCATTGATGACCTGCACATGTGTCTGTCTACAGACTTCCTGAGCTCCAGACCCATATAGTCAATTACCTTTGAATTACCCATTGGGATAGCCTCAAACTCATCATTTCCAAAGCTGAACTTGGTAGAGTAATATTTCCTAAATGTCCATCAGATGTCAACCTCTGCACAAAACTCTTAAATGTCTACCCACCCTTGTCTAAGTAAAAGCCTAAGGCATTATAATGGCCTCCAAGACCCTACATAATCTGCCTCCATCCTTCCACTCCTCTGACTTTATTTCCTACTACTCTCCCCTTTCTCAGACCACTCAGCCATACTGGACAGACATGTCCCCACCCCAGAGCCTTTGCACTTGCTTTTCCTCTGTCTGCTCTTCTTCCAGATAGAAGCTCTTGCTCTCTCGCATCCTTGGAAACTTTAGTCAACTATTGCCTCTTGGAAAGGCTTTTCATGAAAATCCTATATAAAATTGCAACCTACCTTTTGACCTAGCATTTCTTATCTTCTTTTCCCGATTTCTCTGTCTTTATAACACTTATAAATACCTAACATACTATATACTTTTTTATTATCTACTTCCCTCCACTATATTATAGACTACAACTTGGCAGGAATTTTGGTTCCTTTTGTGCATTATTATATTCCTAATGCCTGGAGCAGAGCCTGGCACATAGAATATAGTCTAGAAATAACTGTGGAATAAACAAATAAGTGAATCTCCAAACCCTCACTCCCCAAACTACTATTCATCGTTTCTGTAAATGGCACACTCTCATCTATCCAGCTGCCCAATACAGAATCCCAGGACTAGCTTGGACTCAGCTCATACTTGCTCTTAACCCACATTAAACTCAGCCCTCCAGCTATCCCCTGAAACCTGTCTTCCTCTCCTACCTCCCGTCACATAGTTATTTCCTGTTCATCCTTCAGGTTCTAGCCTAAACATCATTTTTACAAACTATGTCTATTATGTTTCCTTTTATTTTTTTATTTGATAAATTTGACATTACATTTTGTAAATTTAAGGTATGTGTGTTACTTTGATACATTTATATATTGTAATATGATTGATATTGAAGCAATATTTGTCACTTACATCATTGTAGTACAATATTATTGCCTATTATGTTTCCTTTAAATACCCAACTAGACCTCATACATGTCTGGTCCATACTAAGTATTCATCAAATATACTTATGGCAAGTCTCAGGAATACTAGATTAGGTTTCCCTGCTCTCTGTTGTTATGGCACCCTGTAAATTTCACATAACACTCAGCTCGCTTTACAATAATTACTTTTTTTAATATCCTTCTCCTTCACTAGATAATAAGCTCCCTGAAAACAGAGACCTGCATGAAGATGAAAATGAGCAAGGGAAGATCCTAAAACATAGTGCAGACTGGCCTGATTATGGGAGGATCCTGCTGGTAATACAGGGAAGTCATTTGAATAAGTTGAGGGCAGGAGATTGATTACAGAGGGACAGATTCAGAGAAAGGAACTTGATTCCATTTTTAGATACCAAGTTAGACAGGTATTTATTATAATAAAATAAGCTCAACAGATTTGGTTTCATGCTTCTATATAAACCAGTTGCAGCACTAGTTAAGTTTTAGTCTGGCTTGATCACTGAAATTTAGTCAACACATTACTATTCATTTTTTAACTTACCAATTGCAAAGACTTCTAATTTCAAGCTTATATAGTCTCTTAGATATCAGACTGCATTCTAATTGCTCTCATAATACACTTAAATTGATTACACACAGTGTAATTACTATGTAGAAGAATATCTACTTATATCTACATAAATTAGATTAGATTAGATAGATAGACATTCATAAATGTGCATACACATACAAACATCCATTTTATAGATAATGAAACTGACACTGCAGGATTTTTTATTTACCTCAAGATCACATAATTCCTAAGTGGTGGAGAGCCAGGATTTGAACTGATGTATGTATGACTAAAAAATCCAACCAGCTGGTATGGCTCAGTTGGTTGGGCATCATCCCATGCATCAGAAGTTGCCAATTCGATTCCCGGTCAAAGGCACATGTCCAGGTTGCAGCCTTGATCCCAGATAGGGGACATGCAGGAGGCAGCTGATGGATGTGTCACTCTCCAATTAATGTTTCTCTCTCTCTCCCTCTCCCTCCCTCTCTTTCTAAAAATCAATTTAAAAGCTTAATACATAAATAAGTAATATTTGTAGTTTTACTATTCCACAATGGCTCCATAATTTGATATCAATTTAGAATGAAAATATTTGTATGAAGAATTATGATCAAAATGAACACAAATTAAGATTATTTTAGCCCAATACTAAGTCATTATGATAGTGTCTGGACATATTTAACATTAATTGCTCACAGATGATAATAGAAATGTCTACTATAAGGATCTATCAAATATTATTTGACCTTTTGCTAGATATGTATGGTAGAGTCATTACTTTCAGCTTAAGTTTATATCCTATTCTCATCAACAATGATTCCTACTCAAACCCAGTCAGCTTTATTTTATTCTGAATTTACCTTTACAACTTGAAGATAAACTTAAAAATAATACTACACTGGTCTTTTTTTGATGCCCCATAGCACCCTTTGGTTCTTGTTGAATAAATCAATAATTTAGGATGAGGAGAAAACAGAAATAAGCTCCTCAACCCACTTCCATTTCCAGCCCAGGCTGGAATATCAATAACAAATCAGAGCCTTAAATATTCCTGATATTCAGAAATAATATCAGCAAAGAGGTATACATATGCATTGAGAACCCAGAATCTGTGTTTTGTTATAATTTTGGTGAATGTTAACTGTACTGTATCAGTTTTATTCAACCCTCAAGTTGATTCGAGTAAATAATTATGAAGAATATATAACCACATAAAACTGAAACCATCATCAGAATTTATCCCAACAAATGAAGAATAGAAGATTCAAAGCCCTGATGCTACATCACTATGGTGACATGACAATACTGCACTCAGATGTGGTACAAACTCTGATGCCTACACTACTTGATTTTCTAAGACAAATGCCAATAAATTATTATTTATAGGCATTCTCAAAATATGTTTTTATCTTTAAAATTAAATTAGATTATTATTTTAATAGCTTTGAAGGCACATACATGTTGCTGCTAGTGTCTATGATGGTCATCATTTCATTAGAGAGTGGCCCAGTCAACACTTGATTCTAATCTGCTTAACTGCCTGATCTATTTAATTGCCCCATTAGGGACTTTTAGTCTTACAAACATTATGTAAATTATTATTGGCTTTGGAGGAGGACAAAAGTGAGAAGTATAATTTATTATTTTGACAAACTCAACAAGGAGTTTTAATGTTCTAACAGACTCAAATTAAGGCAGCAGCCACCAACTAAAGAAATAAGCTGCTAATATATAAACCAAAATACATGAATAATTATCTCTGTACCTACTATTCTCTCAGCTTCCTGCTCTTCCCCTTCACTAGCCAATTCCTCCTTATCCATCCAGACTCATGTTAAAGAGCATTTTCTCCTGAGTGAACTCCCTTTGTTATGTGCTCTCTGTACCGTCCTGGTGTAACACTCATCACACTTTGTTGTAATTATATTCTTAACATTTGATTTTACTGCTAGATTATAAGATCCCTGAGAAAAGAGTTCATGCCTGTCTTGTTTATCAGTCTGTACCCAGCACAGTGCCTGACCCACAACGGGGTGTGCCGTACATGTCTGTTAAGTTGAAATGAAATTAAAGTTAATGTTATCACTAACAATGATTTGTAGTTTGGACCTTAGTGAAACCTACTAGAGTTGCTTTCAACTACCTGTAGGAAATCAATGTCTATGAGCAAAGGATCACATACAAAATTTTTTAAAGCAGCATTATAATAAACAAAAATATAAAATGGATAAACAAATTATTGTAGGTATAGTCATACTAGAGGGTATTTCAGAGTCTAGATAATGTTATATTTCTGAAGTATTTATAAATGGCATGAAGAAATTCGTATTAAGTCATGTTAAATAATAATAAAACTGATATTTATAGAGTATTTTGAGCCAGCCATTCTTCTTACAACTTTGTATATATTAACTAACTTAATCTTCACAACAAATCTGCATGATCCCCAAGTGATTCATATCTCCAGGAAAATTTGAGAAGTACTAACCATTCTTCTCATTTTACAGAGGAGATAAACAAGGCCAAAATTATTAATATCCTTTTCCCAAGATTGCACAGCTGGGCGGGTGCAGGGCGGGGGCGAGAATAAAAGAGTTCGATTCAAACCCAAGATGCTGGAAACTTAGACCAGTGTTCTTTTTGTTATACCGTGTTGTAAAGCTTTGACTTTGATGGATCTTCCTTTTTCTCCCCTTCCTCCCACCTCCAAATGGTTTCACCTCCATAGAGTACCTGAAGCTTGGTAATGCATAAATGCCATGTCATTCCCTGAGAAAATTTAGAGTCGGCAGAGGGAGGCTTAGAAATTAAGTGCCTAAAAGCCAGTAACTGACCCCAGAGATCTCCAAGGACTGCTGTCCAGTCCAAGATTCCGTGACATGTGCAACACAGCCTTGAATAGGAATCAGAATGCTGGTATCCAATGCAGTGAGAATTTATTTCGTAGTTATCAAAGCAAACCAAAGGTTATCTGTGGGTTGGACATTTAAAGATTAAGTACAGCTGATCACACTCAACTCGTATGCAGGTAGCTTAACTTCAGTGGGTCTGGTCTCTCTCCGAAGGGAAAATGGAGGTGTTTATGATGCTGTATCCTAATGGGTTCCAGGTGACTCGGGCTAGGCGGCTGAATCAGACCCTCTCTTCTTTGATTTACATGGCAGGAACCAGGCCATCCCTAAATTGAAAAGATATAGTAATGAGCAAATGCAGAAAAAGAAAAGAGGGGAAAAAAAGCTGAGGGAAAACCTGGAGTGCTTTTCCAAGTCCAAAGTGAGCTATGGCTGCCCTCTCTGCCTCAGAGGTATGATCATAAATTACTAGCTAATGTTTAGCGCTGGGACTCTGGCTCATGATATATTACAGAAGACAAGATGCCTCCAAGCAGAAAACACTGTAATTGGGGAGCAATAACATCTGTGTCAGTCATGGGACTGCAGTTAAAGTAAACTGAGAAGTTACAGGCTGGGCTGCACATGCAAAGTAATAATATGCACATTTTTTAGCTGAAAAGATATGTCATTGAGATATGGGCCTCTTTAAATTCTTTGGATTCTAGTGTGTTGCGATGCTTTGCTATACTGGCCACCTCATCTCTCTGAGCCTCCTAATGTGGCAAGGCCAGAGAATTCCTGCATAATGGAGCAGCGTCTCAACCCAAAACTTCTGGCTATGAATCTTGTCATCTTTCCAGTGCATCTCTGTTATGTCATTGATATTTAAGTAATTATAACACAATGAGTAGATGCTTAGTTATTCAAGACTGAATTGTGTGCAAGAGACTTTTATTCCTAGGTTGATCAAAATAAAAGAGAACTACTTTCTTATAACCTGCCATCTAAAAAATTGTCCAGTAGCAGGATAATAGCTAAAAAAAAAAAAAAAAATCAGAAGTGTTCTGAGTGTTCTGGAAGAGACTGCCAGTTGGAGGTAGTCTAGAGAGATTTAAATTGAGTTTAAAATTTTGCTCACTGGTGACCAGTGCGCTGTAAGTGAAGTTTTAATAAGGAGCTTACTCAACTGGAAGGAACAGCCCTGAGACATTCTGCCCTCCCTTCTTCCTTCTTTCTGCCTAGAAGGTCAGGTTGCCTATATTTTAGCCTCTGGCGGTCCCTTTCAACTCTGATAATTGGTGATCTTTCACTGTATAGGCCAACCAAACTCAAAATCCACCTGTGAATTCAAACACCCTCTTCATAGGGTGACCAGGGCTGTCCCAGTTTTGCATTGGAAGTCCCATGTCAAAATTGGAAGTCCCAGGACTGTTTCAGGCAGATGAGACCTACCCTAGCTCTTACCACTATGCTGTGCCTCCTGGCCCTTGTCGAAACCAGCACAGTGCTCTTAGCTGCATCTTCCCATCCACAGGAATGGCTGAATGCACAGTGTAAAATGTTCTAGTCCCCATACTACAGACAGATCTGGAGCAAACCTCTAGATACTGGCCAAGTACCTGGTTTGATTCTCTGGCTAGTCCTCTTCCAGTGATATTTTAGGTGCTCTATCTGCTTGGCTTCACCACCACCACTGTCTTTCAGGTCTCCCAGCCTCACACTCCTCCTCCTGCCAGCCCAATTTATGTGTTTCTGTTGCTGGGCTACCATTTATGGAGGAGGAATGCTATGGTGTTACCCTTAGGCCACTGCTGCTGCCTAGTCTTAGCCAATGTATGATATAACCCAACATCAAAGCTGCCATCTGAATTATTCACTGCCAAAATTATATCAACACTGTGTCTATGCCAGAGTTCTTTATAAAGCTGGACATTTGTAGGCATGAGCTTCCCGTGGGCTCAAATATACCATTTTCATGAGCTTATTTGTTTTCTTGTTTGCTAACTAGTGTTGCCTTTGACTATATTGAATAGCGCCTCACCCCACATGGTACATAAAAGTTCCTTTGCTTTTTAACAACAAATTAATTTTATTATGAAAAAAATATTTTAGCAAAAATTGACTTATCTAAAAAGCCAAGAGAATAGGAAGTATGGTAAATTGGAAAGTTCAATTTTTGTTTTTTCATTGCACTGAAGCGTGTTGGTTTCTTTTAAACTAGTCTAAGGTCAGTCTTTGTGTTTCACAATTTTATCTAAGGGAATGCCGTGAAGAACTAACTATATAGAATGGATCAATATTTTATACAAAGTCCAAAACCATATATCGAAAATACGTCCTTTCTCTCCCCAACGTTAGGGGCATTCTTAACAATCCTTAGAGTTGTTTAACTTTTATTTACTATTAATTTGTATCTTACAAAAAGGTTCTAAAGTAGTAATTTGGAAAGATGGACAATGTCCTCGGGCTCTTTGGAGCCTCTAACATTGCTAGCCTGGTGGAAAGAAGTGGAGATTGTAGGGAAGATTTTAAGATGTCCCCAATTTCAAAAGCTAAAAATACTACGACAAAAGCACTGGAATAGCCCTAGCCTGTTTTTCTCAGTAGTTAGAGCATCGGCCCGGGGACCAAAGGGTCTCAGATTCCATTGAGCCTGGTTGCAGGCCCAAAGCCCGGCCCAGGCTAGGGCATGTGCGAGAGGCAACCAATTGATGTGTCTCTCTCACATCGATGGTTCTCTCCCCACCCCCACACCGCCTTTCTCCCTTCCACTATCTCTAAAAATCAATGGGGCCATAAAAGCACTGAAATAAATTTCCACCAGTGTTAGAAACTTCTGGTTGTCTAATATGCATTCTCTCCTTCTTCCCTAAATACAGAATATCAGTTTTCTTCTAGGCACCCATTCATTCTCCCTTGCAGCTAAGGGTGACCAGTGCGCTATAAGTGAAGTTTCTATAAGGAGCTTACTCAACTGGGAGGAACAGCCCTGAGACCTTCTGCCCTCCCTTCTTCCTTCTTTCTGCCTAGAATGTGTCAGGCTGTCAGATTTAGCAAATAAAACTACAAGATGTCTAGTTAACTTTGAATTTCAGATCAGCAACAAATAATTCTTTAGTATAGACACACCTCAGACATATTGCGAGTTCAGGTCCAGACCATTGCAATAAAGTGATTACTGCAATAAAGTGAGTTGGAATCTTTTTGGTGGTGGAGGGTTTTGCCTTCAGTTTGTAAAAAGTACGGTATCTGTGAAGCACAATAAAGCAAAGTGCAATAAAATGAGGTATGCAGTTTGGGACATGCTTATACTAAAAAAGTATTTGTTGTTTATCTAAAATTCAAATTTAACATCCTGTATCTTATGTTTTTATCAATGTTCCAAAGGATTTGGACATGAAGACTGAAGCAGCCATCATGGACCATGAAGAGAACTTAGCCACATAACAAGGATGATAGAAAATACGAAAAGTCTCAGAAGACCAGGAAGTGCCATATTACCCACGGGCCATCTTCCTCCAAACTTTTTCTACATGAGTGAAATGTTATCTTGTCTGAGCACCATTACTTGGAATGTGTTGCACAGAGCCAAATTCAGTCCAAATGGTAAACTGCCCTTTCTACATTCCTTTTCCTCTCCCTACTCTTTCATGCTTCTTTTCCCTCCCCAGTGACCATCACATACATTTTAGGTTAGTTTTATGCATTTTTGAGGATGAATGGGGAGAGTAAATCCCACACAATAACTTGTTCCCTTCCTACATCCTCAGAAACAGCTTATACCCAAGGGTAAAATATAGAAATATGACCACCAAGCGATGAAGAGATGTCCTTCAAAGGGCCACCATGACCAGATCGATATCTGAAGAGGTTTGTTTTGGGGAAGGTATGAAATAAGGCAGAGATAGGAAGCACCAATGAAATTTTAAAGAGAGAAGGTACATTAGAAAGTAACCAGTTTTATCTCTGATTCTACGATCCATTACTGGGAATTAATAATTATAATTATAGCTAATACTTATTGAACGCGTACCATATATCAGACCTACACTGAGTATTTTAGATAGCTCTATATCCATATCATTATTTAACCGTCATGCTGACCCTATGAAGTTGATATTATTGGTAACTTTATTTTGCATGTAAGGAAACCAAGACTCAGAAAGGAGACATAACCTCTTCCAGATCAAAAAGCATGCAAGGTGTGCAGCAGGAGTTGATTGGGTCTTTCCGCCTCTAAAGCCCAGGTTCTGTGCTCTTAATCACCATCTGTGTATATATATTTTCTGAACTGGGAAAAAATATATGACTTCACATGAAGAAAGATCGAACACATGTTAAATAAATTGAAGTCCCACCTCCCAACATCCTGCACTTAAGCTCTGCAGATGAAAGGATGTTCTGCCTGGGCTCAGCTCCCTTCTACAATTCACTAAAAGCAAAATACAAAACACCAGATTTTTATCAGGTTGCTATTACTCAGAGCCTTATGTATTGAGTAGAGAAACTGATCTGAAGAAATCAGAGTATCCTAGAAAAGTAACAGAACTGAGGGTGGGGAGAATGGGCGAGAAGGTGCACCTGGAGAATTAGGTCACTTTAACCTAAAGTGACTTGAGCATCACATGTTTAACCTTCTGTACCAACCTCCTCTTACCATAAGGGCATTTCTATCCTGTTGGTCTCTTAAAAACCACAGACTGATCCGGAAAACCCACTAAACAGATTCACTTTGCTGTAACCTGGCTTTAGCATTCCCTGAAAACATCCACAGAGTTTGGTCTGGACTTCTCCTCCCTGGAGCCGCAGACACAAGCCATGATGGCGTACTATGATGAAGAGCTCCCTCTGCAGATTGCTGAATCACAGGAAAAGCACAAACCAAGCAGGAAAAATGTGCCTTGCACTTTTCCATGGAATTCACCTACTGCAACTGGGGGTGGTTAGGTTTTCATGAATAGGGCACCCAAGGAGAATAGCTAATAACAGACTGATCCAGAACTGAGAAAGAATAGCATGGCATCTTGCCCCAGTCATGAATAGAGGACATAACAAAGAGGGAGGAAAAAGAAACAAGGAACCCAGGAGTAACGGGGAGACCAGAGCTCACCAGCCGGGCGTCTGGTAAGCACAGAGTGTGGGAACTTTTCCTTGCCTCTGAGACACATATTGTTGTCCAACAATGGCACGGCGGCTGGTGTTGTAAAGTCTCCATTTCAGAGGAGAAACCAGCAGAGGTGTTCTGCTCCTCCTCTCCCCTTTGGGAAATCCTGGGAAGTGCCAGCATTATTGTTAAAGATGTGAAATAACACGCAGCAAGCTCTATATTTACAACAGGCAGGGA